ATGTTTTACGGTGCTATAGACACAGAAATAACAGTTATGGCGCCAGTGAGGACCTTGTTTTGATATAATATTTGGTTAGTGTTTGTTTCTGGCTTCTTTTATTTTATTATTGTGGGTGTTTTACGTAATAGAACATTAAACAATTTTGGGCGGCAACTCACGACCGTGCTCTATGAACGAACCGCGCCTGCACATGACATATACTCACACCCCCGCTACCTCCAAGTACAAAGTGGTGTGAATGACATAAAGTCCTCTTTAATCTGTTCGACTATCTCGTTGCCACTTTCAACAGAATGAACTGAGGGGGGAAAAGGGATAAGAACTTTCCTATCTGGACAACACCCTAACCTGCTGAACTAGGGATCGAACCCTCAACCCATCGGCTACAACTCAGGCCCCATAGCAAAGACCCTTCATTTGATATCATCTTGAGGTTTGGATATTTTTTTGGGTGTGGGGTAAAGTGGGGGTTGGGGTATATTCTCACTTCACTGCATTATTAATTTTTGTTTCCTCTTTCGCGAAGAGCCACACAACAAACACGTCCTTGAACTTTCCTGATCATATTGAAACCCTCTATAAATACATGTTTTTAGACAAAAGAATCGATTGCCAAATATATATGCTTTTTTCTCAGCAAGGGTATTATGGTCTTCTCAGGAATTAGTACGTAGTGAATCAAATACACAGTGCTAATGACCTGGAGCGTTATATTGAGGAAGGACAATATAGCTACCTAGCATTGTGGGTGGCTGCAGAACGCTACAATAATACAGTCAAATATTTGTGGCGCAACTTATTGTCCAGTATTTCCTCAACTATGGAACATAGACTCCCCAGCTTTTCCACGATGACTTCTATCAATTTTTAACTGATCAGTATTGATATTGATTTTTGTGTGTGATTTGTTTGGGTTTTTTAAATTGCTGTTATGGCTCTCTATATTCGCACTAAGTATACTAAACTGGAATACACTCCTTAGGGGGGAACAATAACAATTCAAGAACTTGAACTTCTACCCTATCCCTCGAGACATTGATATTATTTAAGAACCAGCAAGGAAGCTATCCAATTCCTGTCTCTTTTTTTCCCCCTCTTAATGTTTGGACTTGCTTCCGACTAAATCGGATTCGATTGTGACGACAAAAAATATCAACACGTTAGTTTTTTTGAAGGTAAACATGCATGACATTAAAGTTACTTCTATTTTGGAATTCATAATACGAGGACGAATACAGGGTGATTAAAAAACAGCAATTACTTTATAACTCTTTTTGTTAATATTTTCCTCCATGCTGAAGTTTTTCCGTTTCAAATTTGAACATAAGCTGTGGAAACCAAAAGGACTTTGTCTGACATTTGATTAAGTGCAAATCCCATTTTCATATTTCAGGATATGTTAACTCCAAAAATGCTGTCAATAGGCAACACGCACTCTATTGTTTCTAGAAGCTACTTCATACTGAATATCTACAGTGTGTGTGGCTTTAAACACTTATAGTTAAGTTCACCTTGATGAAGCCCACGTGGGTCGCTCATTGTTAAAAACAATTAGGAAACGATAAATACAGTTTTTGGGACACATAAATAGACATAAGCAGGGGCGGTTTGTTAACTGGGCAAGACCGGCGGTGGCGGTCAAAGTTTTGTCAGCTGGAGTGTTGACTAGAGATTTATTGCTGATGATGATTTTCTTTCAGTTTTAAGTAAATCCGAAAAAACATATATCAATTTTCAAAAAGCACCTTGCCGATTTGAAGGCGTTCAAATAGACAAGTGGGATTCACTGCTGTTTTGTCGCGACAGAGCCTCATTCCGTCACCTTTGTTTATCGCACCGGCTCGTAACTTTAAATCGTCTCGCGTCAGTCAAACCGTCACGTCGCGGAACTTCGTACGAGGACAAACGAACACGGCGGGTGGACAAATCCATCGACTGCCCTGAGGCTACAAAGAGCGAATATAAACATCCCTTGATTGCCAAGTTGGCCTCCGTGGTGCTTACAAAATCGGTAATGAGACTGTCTTGAGTCTTGAGCAGCACAGACAAATGAAATATTTCATCAGCAATACATGTACTTATCATTCAGCCTTTCTCTAACTATCATCAAAACATTTATTGTCAGCATGGCACTAATCTTTTTTGTTTATTGAATTTTTAGCCACCTTTGGTTCGTGTTTGGTGACTATTCATCGCTTTCTCCCCACTAATAACGTACCTGGCCCATATGAGTCTAGCCGGCGAAGAGAGGAATCGTCTAGTGAAGATATATAAGGAGAATTATAACTAGGGCGATAGGAGCGATCGGCTGTCAGTCTGGGCCAAAAACAAAGGGCCTACCCCCTTCCTTCGCTCCCCTTATCCATCGTCACCTCAGCTAGACACCAATTTCTATAATTAGCATTTGACACACTTCCCCACTTTGTTACAACAGTGTTCTTAGAACTGAGAAGTGTGATGAAGAACGTTTGGTTACATAATGATGGAAAACTGTTGTGTGCTAACTTTGTCCAGCTTTTTATAGTATCTGATCGTAGACTTAATCTGCATTGGACAGCGTCATTGGTACAGTATCAATTGACTTTTTGCCATCATACAGCACTGTTCTTATTGCATATTTACAAGTCGAGTGCACGTCGATATTGTGTGTGGGTGTGTAGAAGGTAAAAGTACCGGAGGCCATGACCAGCAGTTTATTGTGCTTCTCACTTTCAGTTTGTTTTCTAGCATAGACTCTAGTAGTGTTTCTTTTTCTATGCCGTTCAAGTCAGTTTCTGTTAACTCAGTAACTTCTATCATACTTTAATCATAATATTGTTTCTTGACACTACCATATTTCAGCTCTTTCACATTATATTATAATGTTTACAGTGGTGTGTGTGTGAGAGTGGGGGAGGGGGTGACGATGGCGAAAGTAGGGGTATAAAATGAGGAGAGAGAGAGAGAGAGAGAGAGAGAGAGAGAGAGAGAGAGAGAGAGAGAGAGAGAGAGAGAGAGAGAGAGAGAGAGAGAGAGAGAGAGAATGTGTATGAGTGTGTGTGTGTGTGTGTGTGTGTGTGTGTGTGTGTGTGTGTGTGTGTGTGTGTGTGTGTCTGTGTGTGTGTCTGTGTGTGTGTTGTGAAGGAAGGGGGTGGGGAGAAGGAAGAAAGAGTCTTTGTGAATGATGGCCGGTCAGTTCTATAAACCACGAGCCGCCACTGGACATAAGGGTCTTGAACACCTAGCTCTCACTTGCAAAATTGAGGGCAAACGAGGCAGGGGAAGGCCCAGAACAACATACTTAGGTAACCAAAACAAATGGGTAACAGGGAAAGCTCAGGGAAACGTAGCTTTTTTGAGAGCATCCGGGCAAAGGAATAAATGGAGAACCATGATCGCCGGTGTCTGTCGCAGATCTGGCACTGGATGATGATGAATTAAGCGGGTCCTCGTGTCTAGCCGCCATTGAACATTTCAAACAACACATTGAGTTCAAGGGAGGGCATGTAGTACACTGCTGCTAGGAATTCCAGAATAAGATCGTTTCCAGACTTCCTTTAGAAAAATTTTTAACAATTAGTGAACGTTGCGTTTATGGGTGTGGTTTTTTTTTTCCTAAAGCCAATTCCGTTTAACAAAATTAATTTCTTCCCCATGAATTTATTTTATCAAACAATATTGCTTTTGAGTGAATCATGTCTGCTCCAAATCACAACATTCTAGAACAATGTCTGTTGGAGATATTCAGAAAAGAAGTTTTAAATTTTTTGGGATCACCATGTATTTATCCCCAGAGAGATAAGTGATTGGGGAGAATGAGAGGGGGGGGGGGTGTCATGTCTTAGAATGGAACACAGAAAGGTTCATAGGCAGTGGAGAGGAGCTGTGGGGAACAAAATGCTACAAATAAAATAACGTTTGGGAGTAAATTCGTGTTTAGCCTTTCCTGAGAAGGTGTCCCTGAAACACAATAAAATTATTGTTTGTTTTTTCTTATGTTTCTTATAACAATTTAAGTGTTCTAGATTTTTAAATTATTTTTAGTAGAGTTTTTACAGCGCTCACAAATGCATGAGGTCATATGAGCGCCAAGGTGTAGATGTCAACAGAGAAGTCCATACAGGGAATCAGGTTTACTCTGCTCACTTGTCCAGCTTCAATAGACATAGTCTACTTCGACTATCAAGGCACCCGGGAAATAGCAGTTCACAAGAAGTAGAGAAAAATGACGATAGTAAGGTTTAGGAAAGAAAAAGCAGCAATTCCCCGTTAAAGTTTAGCACAGTTATGAGCATGACATTGATGAATCAGCACATTTACATTTCTACTGAGCATAAAAACATGTTAATGCCCCCCCCCCCCTTCTGGGATTGGCCTAAAGACACTTCAGTCAGTAGCACCGCCCGGGTTCTAGATTTTGCTACAAAGTGTTGTTAGCGCGTGCTCTGGTGTAGGCCCTAGTTTGTTCCTTATTTCCTATCAAACATCCATTTTCCTTTTTTATTTGTAAGCTGGTATCTAATAATACTTTTAATCTTCGGCATTTATATGCCCTGTGCGTGTTGCTAGTGCAGTAATGCAGTAAAACTCTTTTCTAAAACTTGAAAAAAATCAACTTCGCTTTCCCAGTAAAAAGATGCCGTTTTCCTTATAAATGGCGATGTTGTGCAACAAAACGGTAATGATTTATTTTTCATGTACACATGCCAACTAATCATCAACTCAGACTCAAAAGATTACCAGAACATTTCAACAGCCTTGTTGATTGAACGCTCAAGGTAGAAGTAGCCGACTACTTCCCTCCCCCCACCTCACACCAATGATCTCATAACACATTCCTCTTCTTGCACACGAAACCTCCGAGAAATTTTAGCCCTTATCCGAGAAGGCTAGGGGTTTGATCTTGCCTTTCCTATGATCACGGCTGTGGCTGAAATACAGCACCAAGAAGGAGCCAAAGTAGGAGAGCAGAAAGAGTCTGGAGCCCAGAGGATGAAGAAAAAGAGGTAGGGACGAGTGTAGTGAATGTAGACGAAAGCAGACGACAGAACGATGTTAGCGAGCAGGAAAGGAAATGAAAGTAGATTAATGTTAGAGAAGAAAAATGTCCATTGATGTCAGGTTTCGAACCTATTAAATGAGAGGCAAACACCGTAACCTCTAGACCAAGAGAGCTCCCCCTCCCTCCAATCCCCCTTATGTATTTATAAATGTATCTGGAACAACTTGCCTCAGGATCTCAGAGAAACAACACATTTTAATAGGTTTAAGCAAATTCTCAAGACTCATAATTTGTTTAATTGTTAATTATAGTAAGTGCTGATTTTTTTTTCTGCTGCCCTTTCATGTATATAGTTAATGTATGATTGTGGAAATTTTCTTCATGTGGTTGAACTGGTTTTTCTTGTTTTTCTTAAATATTTTTTCTTGTGTGAGTGATTGTGATTGGTGTAAAGTGCTCAGAGATTATACTAGTATGGGATAGAACGCTATATAAATGCAATCTATTACTATTACTATTACTATTTTATGTATAATGTACATTATTCACACACACACAAACACACACTCACACACACACACACACACACACACACACACACACACACACACACACACACACACACACAAGGGGCTCTCGTGGTCTAGAGGTCACGGTCTATCTATCTATCTATCTATCTATCTATCTATCTATCTATCTATCTATCTATCTATCTATCTATCTATCTATCTATCTATCTATCTGTTTTCATAATCAGCGTTTACTCACCAACCTATGAATTTATTCATGCAGACAGACAGACAGATAGACAGACAAGGACGAAATGAAAAGTGCATAATGTTTGACGACCTTGAGGGTCGCTAATATAATTTTTATTGTCTTGTTTGTTTACTTTACAAAGCTGAAATTTGGGAAACAGCGTTTTTTCCTTAAAACAATAACACGCGTCTGTTTATTGCAACATCCAAAAAGCGTGGGACTTTTTCTTTTTTCAAAAAAAGTTTTCACGGTGATGAGCTTCGTTTTTAGCTCCAAAAAAGTTTATCCAACGAGTACTTGGGAAAAAAAATTAAATGCAGACACCGAGAGTGAGTGGCTTTAGTCACATTTATCACGTGTCTCGAGTTTTTGCAATTGTCAAATCAATGGCATTGCAGCTACTAGTATCTGTGAAGTAGCGATTGAGCGTCTTGTCGACGCACACTAAAGAATTGAGTTTAATTCCCATATTAGTATTTCAGTTATAAACAAAATGTGAATTATACTACCATCATTCCAAGCGATCAGGTTCTACTTTCTGATGCTAACTGTATCAAATAATGTCTGGTGACACGTTCCGGTTTTTGGGGGTTTTTTTTAAGTTTCTCTGTGGCCTTCACTTTTACTGGACAAGCAAACGTGGGGTGGTGGGTTGGTTCTTTGGTGAACAACAGGAGTTCAGTTCCAACATGCTGAAGTTTTTTTTATCGAGTACCCCCTCTTGATTGGCCATAACAGACGTAGTGAAAGTAGCCCACTTCCACAAAGATCTAGACTGTCAACACAGGTGCAAAACACTTTCAACGAAAACTTTCACTGGTTGAGAATTTCGGTGTCAAAAATACCACTTTCCATTTTCTGGTGAAAAAATATGTCGACACCGGATGACTGCTTTTTGAATAAAAACCGCGAGCAGTCTCTGAGGTTGCACTAAGCTCCACGCACAAGACAAGATGAACATCGCTGTAGTCCTCGTCCTCTTCTCCGTCCTGGCTGCGACACAAGCAAGCCGTGAGTAGTTTTTGCGAAACTAGAACTTTAACGTGCCGTAAGTCATTTTAGTATTGATTGATTTCGGTAGGTGTTTTACGACAGTGTCTACTCAATTTTTGTCATGTAAGTGCCAAGAACAGATATTTACAGAAATCTTTGTAAATGTGGTTAAAAAAACAATTTCTACTTCAGGGTATACCTTGCACACACCAACTTTATTGTTGAGCTACCAATATATTATCAAAGCTATTTTAGAACGAGATGGCAGGAAACCCATCAATGTTTAGCAAGAGGAAATCCGTCGAGGGCTATGTCCACTATTAAATAACTTCTGCACTGCTCCGAAGACAGTTAGCACAACGCAGTCTTATTCCTTATAACTGAGAGAATGTTATATCATACCATGGATGGATGGCTCTGAATTGGCGCAAACGTTCACGCAAAACCTATTTGCTTTTCTTTCTCGGGAACACAAGAATAACTCTGATTGCGAAAACACTATCTTTGATGCTTCAGAAATGTTCGAGGTTTTTTTCATTGCTGTCTTTCTTTGCCATATTCCTAACTCCCCCAGAGGACCAGAGTGTGTGTGGTGTAATCAGGGTGGAAAGTTGGAGCTACAAGTACGCCGAGAAGACAGTACAAGATGCTTTGTATGTCCTCAACATGACGGTCGTAGATCAGCAGTCCGAGGCTGCGTGTACCCTGGGTGAATCATTCGGCTACCAGAAAGCCACCCTGTGGGTGGATCACGGCTGTCGTGCTGACTTTAACGTTTGCTACCTCCCAGGTGAGTTTTACTGCCCTTGCAACTCAGTGTCACAGGGCTCGAAGAATAAGTGTTACGAGAGTGACAACCCACGAAAAAGGCAAAGCTGGGATAAAGACCTATTTAATAGTATAGGACCAAGTCCCACCAGAGCCCCAACCAACTACTCGGCCCCAACCAACTTCCCAAATCTTTAGGACACAGATTTATATCTGAAATAAAAAATGAATGTACCGACTATTTTATTGTTCCTTCAGACAAATGCTTTTCTTTTTTGTTCACTGCTTTTCCTACATGCTTCCATTGTGAGAGAACCTTGATTAAACCGTATCTCTTAATGAAATGTTTCCATATTTTCAGAGAATGTCCGTTTTGGGGGTTTCTTGGTCAATCACCTCGTTTTTTTTACTCCTTAGTGAGGCCGACGGAGTGCCAAGTACTCAGGGTGGAAAGTTGGAACTACAAGTACGCCGAGAAGAAGGTGGCCGGAGCTGCTTTGTTCATTGACATGACCGTTGAAGATCGGCAGTCCGCGGCCAGTTGCGATCTGGATAAATCCTTTGGCTTCTACAATCAGAACTCCACAGTGTGGGTGGATCACGGTTGCCGTGCCGACTTCAATATCTGTTATGTTAAAGGTAGGTGTGACGCCAGTTAAACAAACGCATTTTCTTCGCTCGAGATGTAAGGAGAAAACCTGTAAAAACTAGGAATGCAATGTTTGGACATTTGTACACTTTGCTACCAACAGGGTCTTAAGATTTGACAAAAAGCAATGTATTTGTTTTGTAACCTTTGTTGCAGGGAAAAGAAATCTTATTTTTTAGAAACGTACGAACTGAGAGTTCAAGTTCCCACATGACTTGCATTTATATGCAGTTTATCTTGGATTATTTAGAACTGCAGTGTTTTGGCTTGTACTTTAATCCCTAGCACGTTCTGCTGATTTTAAAAGTTCAAGAAAGGAGGAATCGCTTTATGAAATGTAAAAACAGAACAGATACCGTAAAACGCCTACTCAAACGATTTTGTTTGTTGAGTAGATGTACATCTTATACTCTGTATATTTTAATTCCTTCCTCTTTGCTTTAAAGAGACGTGACTGTTTTTTTTTCAAAATATTGTCAGTCCTAGTGGGTTGTTGGCGGGTGCTTTGATTTATTCCTTTCCCATCAAACGTCTCATCCTGATCTCCCTTTGTTTCTCTCCTCGCTGTCTAGTAGTTTCTGACCTTCGGCATTTTTATAACCTTATTATTGCTAGTGCCGTAAAACTTTTACTTAACAAACTCTCCGTCCTATCCACTACTAAATGATCTAATGACCAACTCCATCTACGGTCTCCAGGTGCCACCAGCACCACTACAGTAAACGTGAGCAGCTGGAACTACAAGTACGCCACCAAGATTCTCCCCTCCGCCTCCTGTATCTACTTCATGCAAGTGGCCAAGCAACAGTCCGCGGCCCCCTGCACTCTCGGAATCACTTATGGTTTTGTGGCCAATACCATGTGGGTCAGCGATGGCTGCAGAGCTGACTTTAGCGTAAGCTATTATTCCCCTTAAGCTTTCTTAAGATGTGAATGTTCCACTGACATGTGAATATTCCACTGACCAATTTTGTTGAATTAAAAAGCTATTGGAAACAATTTTTTTGTAGTTTGTATTTCTTCACTTTACGTTGGCCGACGCCTCCTAACGCTCAAGTATTGGGAGTGGGACGACTTTTGTGACACTTGTTTTATGAGGAAATGATAGATCTTTGATGGATGTAACGTGGTTTGCGCCTTTCTTATCGGACATCTTGGTCCTTGTCGCTCTCTCCTCCTAATGGTCTCCCGAGTAAAATTGAGACATTTGTTCTTCCTTCCCCTTCTTGCCAGACTAAGGACAGCTGTATTTCAATTGTACACTTCGATAGGAGAACCCATATATTATGCCAGGTACGGTTTAAAAAAAAAAAGAATCGAGGCAGATTCTTTTCCCCCCTTCGCTACCTTAAAAGAGGAAAGTAAGGCCGGCCTCACATAGGACATGTAAACTCGCACAAAAAAGTCAAGGAACAAAAATTCAAAGAAAGATAACTGAAGAACAGTTTAACCGAATTTATTCTTTTTTTCACAAGATGCTTTCAGCTCTCTAGATTACGTGTGTACAATTTCAAATTTCAACAACGAAAAGTTCATGTAAAATGAGTTTCAGTCACACTGGTCGGATTTCAAGTCTGAAAAGCTTTAGTTCATGAACATTGTCAATAGTGGATGTAGCCACTCCCCTTGATCAAACACTCGGCACAGCGTGGACACATGGACAGGACATGCCTTCGGAGAGCTTGTTGGGGTAGGTTCTGCACTCCTGGACAAGGTAGCCCAAGAGTTGTTGAAGGAGGGTGGTTGTTCCTTATTTACCGGTCAATGTGATCCTAAATGTTCTCTATTGGGTTCAAATCCGGACTACAAGCTGGTCAGTCCATGCAGGTGACAGCTCGCTGCTGTAGGACGTCCCCCCACCATGCGTGCGCAATGTGGCGGGGCGTTGTAGTCCTGCAGTACAGCCTGTAGTCCAATCTGTTGAAAGAGAGGAACAGCAAGGGGACGCAGGATTTCATTCCCGTACCTTGCCGCGGTCAAATTGCCCTGTATATGGTACAGGGGGTCTCTTGTCTGAAATCTTTAGAGCGCTCTGACACCTCCGACAAAGGAATTTTGAAACTTATCATTAAACTGCATTTTCTACATCAGTCTGGAAAAACTATTACAATAGCTTGGCTTCCAAGCCATGTAGGCATTGATGGCAACGAAGCCGTTGACCAATTTGCCAAAGAATCTCTAAAACTACCTGAAAACAAAAATAGTAAAATCCCTTTCTCTGACATGAAACAAAAAGTAAAAGAACACATCACATCCTCCTGGTCCCAAATTTGGAATCAACAAATACATAACAAACTCCGTTACATTCAACCGAAACTTACTCCCAGAAAACCACCATCTCTATCACGAAGAGAAAAAGTAATTTTTACCCGACTAAGGATAGGACACACGCACGTCACGCACAAACATTTGCTCGAAGGTGAGGAAGCTCCTTTTTGCGTGGCGTGCAACAAATTTCAGTTCGGCACATCCTAATGGAATGTGTCGACTTTAATTATGTCCGTGGGAAATATTTTAAATGTAAAGATGTTAAGACCCTTTTTGACATCATAGAGCCTAGAAGAATTTTAAGTTATATAAAAGAAATTGGACTGTTTAATACAATGCGAAAATATATAATTGTCGTTGTCGGTGTATACATACATACGGTGTATATATACATGCACTGAAATTTGTATTGTATATACAAATGTAAATAAGCCTTTTCCATATTTACAAAATATTTTTATAAATGTTTGTTCGTCTTTTTAGCATAATAGATAGTGTGATCGATTGCGGTTGCGAGCTCCGAAAGACTCTTTATTAAAAACACGTCTGATTTTGTAGTGGTGAAACCTGATGACGCTTAAATGACCAAAATGGTGTCGATAGTGCCGTAAAACATCTACCCAATCAATCAATTCTGTATGTTTAGTATTATTTCATATTTTTTAACTTGTTATTCTTTTAAGCATGAGTTTTCTGTGTTGTCTTTGCTATCAATGTGTAGCTTATTTCAAAACCTACAAAAGGTGTGTAAAAGGTTTATGAAAATATCGTTTGTATTTGAACTGCGAGCTTCGGAAATCTAAAAAAATGTCGACTTTCAACCATGCCGCGTCTCAGTGCAGACGAGCGGGGGCAGGCTGTAGGGTATCTCGAAGCATGCGTTCCCATGACGGATGTGGCAAGGATTTTTAACTATAGCAAAGAAACCATCTACAGTCTGCAGACCAGGTACATGAACACAGAAAGTACAAGAGACCGGCCAAGATCAGGGAGGCCGCGGGTAACCACCCCGGCACAGGATCGGTATATCTGCTCTACCCACCTGAAGGACAAGTTCCAGTCTGCTTCGCATACAGCCAGAACTCTGCCGCAACAGCAACCAGTGAGCATACAGGTATTCTTCTCAGGTCCTTTTCACGGATGAGTCTAGATTTGTCCTAGGTCGCTACGATGGTCGAGTGCGGGTATATCGTCATCGAAATGAAAGGTTTGCTGACCAGTGTGTACATGAAATCCCTAACCGGGGATATGGGCAGGTGATGGTCTGGGGCGGAATCACAACAGACCACAGGAAGGCACTGGTACATGCTCCGACATCACAGAATAGCGCCAACTACGTAGCCACCATTTTGTAACCACATGGGGCACTGTTTGTGCAGGGACCATCCAGGCTACACCTTACAACAGGACAACGCTCGAGCCCATCGTGCCAGGGTGACACAAGCTTACCTCGCACAACAAACAATTCGGTTTCATCCATCCCTGGCCAGTAGTACCTCCCGCCATAAACCCGATTGAACATGTGTGGGATATTCTCGGGCCTCAAAACCAAGAGATGAATGCCGCTCCTCAGAACAACGCTCAGTTGATTCAAAGCCTAACCAACGCTTGTAACGCTATCCCACAACATCAAATTTCCAACATCGTCAACTCTACGAGGCGCAGTTGCCGCGCCGTCGTTGTTGCAGGCGGTGGTCACACACGATATTAATCCTGCCGACCTTTCGGACATAACTTGAAATGCTTTAGATTTGACCAGTATTTTGCTATGAATTTCGAAAACCATAACTTAGGATTACTATGTCAATGTAAAGTTTCTAGGTGGAAGAACGCACATTTTCTGACTTTTTGAATTTGGACCTAATCATTTCAGGAGGGGCTTGAAGCACCACGTGTGTATTATGTGCATTAAAATACAGGTTTTCAAATCTAGAAATGCTTCTTCTTTTTATATGTAAAATTTTGTCCCTGTGTTTGCAATGGTTTCTTTTTTATTTAACACTATTCTTTATGTCAAGTTTCTTTTGGAAATGAGTATATATGAAAATATAGTGTGAATATATGCTGAGAGAGAAATGGGAGACATTTTAGTTGCGAGATAAAACCTTCGCAGTCGACTCAGCAACTGGGAGCAGCAGGAGTGGGAGAGGAAAGCGAGAGTGGTGCACTCAGTTTCCGGTGATGAGATATGAGATACTCCCGATGATTCGGCAACTGATAGGAAAGGTCAAGCTGGGAGCAACAGGGAACGGAGACGAAAACGAATGCACTCAGTTTATACACTAAGTTTCGGCGTTCTCCATGTTTTCAGCCTTGCATTCGCCCACATCACCTTCGTGACCTTTTCCTGCTAGTCGTCAAGTGGTTGGTCGGCGTGGACCAGTATCTGAATGGACCGTGTGACGCCGTTTGTTGGAAGCAGGACTTGCAGCCAGATGCCCGTACGTTGGTCCTGTCCTGACACAGAGGCACCGTCAAGAACGTTTGCAGTGGGCCAGGCAGCATTTACAGTTGGCACGACACCAGTGGAGGACTGTAGTCTTTTCTGACATGCTGAAGGGAAAAGAAGGGTCCGGAGACGCCCCGGCAAGCGCTACACCAACTGTTTCATGCTGGGGGTCGATAGATGGGGAGGAGGCAGCGTCATGGTATGGGGAGCGTTCAGCCACGATTATCGCACACTACTGTACTTCTTCGACCAGCTGCCAACACGTACCAGCAGGTTCTGCAGAACCACGTCGTGCCGTTATTTTGTCACCACTGCATCCTGACTTGGCACCAATTGAGCATGTGTTGGACAAGCTTAGCGGCCGTTTCTCCGGTGGAAGACATGTACACAATCTCCAAGATCTAAGGCGTTCTTTGATTGATGAGTGGTTTAAAGATTCAACTGGTGTTCTCTCAGACTCTTGTCAATTCAATGAGAAGACGCCGCAATCCTGTGTTCAGGCCAATGGAGGACATGCACGATATTAAGGCAAGTGTTAAAAACTTAATTTACCGCTCTGGTTTTTGAAAAAGGGTTTTTATTACTTCATACTTCATGCTTTGTGCTCACAGTGCCATTTGACCTTTTCATTTCATTTCAGCTGTGAATATTCACAAAATTACCATAGAATGCAATGGTATATAATCTGTTTAAAAATAAGCACAACACCATTATTATAAATTGTTTTGTAAGTAGTAGGGCCTACGTTTTTACTGACCGTCAGTATATATTTCGTACGTTTTCTTTCTCCGAGAAAGATTTAAGACATTTGTAGGGCTTTTTCTTCCTTACGGCGAACACATAGAGAAAGCCGTTCGCTCACGCTGACGTAAGCACACTGCCCGAGGCAGTGAAATTTTAAAATCCCCTAGTGAAAACCATTGCGTCCCACATCAATAAAGCTGTCATTGAGGACACGTCAGTTTGGAGCGGCACTGAAGCTGGTGTTGCTGCATTAGTTAAAACAACGATGTCAAATTTCACTCTGATATTGGGTTCATAGAATCAACAAACTCGGAGAAACATTTATTTTTTGCAAAGATCATCATTTACTGGGTAATGTTCTTAAAAATGACGATTTGAAAATAAAATCTTATCTGAAAATGAAAGCTGTAGCATTCCCTTCTCCTTGATAAGATTGGACCTTACGTATAACAAAAACAACAATTTTTTTAATGATGCCAAACAACACCCAATACCACTATATACACAGTGAGAACGAGCGAGGCGAATGAAATTTAAGGG